GAGAAAATGGTCTTTGACTCTTTTTATTATGTATAGATATAGATATAGATATGATATATATATATATATATACACACACATGTAGATAAGAAACATAATAAAAAATTAACAAAGGAGATATTTAAAAAAAAAATTAACACAAATAAATTAAGAAAAAAGTATTTTAAAAAAATATGTAATAAAAAAGTTAAAGTTAAAACGCTTAGAGCACTTGAAAAAAAACCAAAAAGCCAGAAAAAAGAAAAAGAAAGAAAAGGAGTAAAAGTTAAAAAAAGAAAAAAGAAAATAAGAATCCAAATAAAGATTAAGGAAAAAAAATAAGAAAGAAAAAAGAAAGTTGTAAGGAGGTATTGTCACATGGCAACATGAGAGAAAAGAAATTTTTGCAAAAACATAAAAAAAAATTATGTTGTAAAAAAAAGTTAAAGTTAAAATGCTTGGAAATATAGAGCACTCAAGAAAATTAAAAAACAAAAAAAGGAGTAAAAGTTAAAAAAAATGAAAAAAAAAAACCAAACAAAGATTAAGAAAAAGTGAACAAAAAACCCGAACCCCCCAATCTATTTATGTATATAAGTAAATATTTTCCTACCTCATAATATATGGTATTTATCTTTTAAATTACATTAATTATTTGACAACCTAATATTTTTTTATATTGTAGGAGATTTTATTATTATTATTTGTTGGTTTACAACATATATATTTTGTATATACTTTATTTTTATATTGATTTAAAACTTATGAGACAATTTTTGAGTTTTATAAGACTAATATTATGATAAAAGTTAGTTTTTTTTTCCATATATTTCTTATTTTAGGTTGAATGATTAGCTTTATTTATTTTTTTTATTTCTTTATTATGTTTAACCAATCAACCCACCCAGTCCATCTAAATTTTAGTTGGTTGGTTGATTTTAAACATTGGCTTGATTGAGTGGGCTAAATTTGAAATCAACCCACCAAAACTTGATTGCATGGGTTAAAAAATCTCAAAAGCGCACACAACCCATCCTAGAGGTGTCAAATGTGCCGTGTTGGGCCAGCACGACACGTCTGATCCCAAGCCCAACACGGGCCTGGGCCGGGCCATGCACGACCCTGAACAGTTTAGGGCCATGCTTGAGCTGGGCCTGAGGGTCTTCCCTCAGGCCCAGCCCTGGCCTAGGCTCTTCACGAGCCGGCCCTGACCCTTTTAATATTTTTTGCAATAAAAATATATCATATACCCCCAAAAGATGTGATTTTATTGAATTGAAATAATACGAATAAATACACATAAATGATTGTATCGTTAAAAACGTTGTCAAGTAAAACCCGTGAGGAGATCGGAATAAAATTTTAACGAAGTAAAAAAGTATACAATATATAAGGATAAATAAATTATACTGTGACCGAATTACTTTTAAGATAAGTTGATTTTTTTAGTATACCTCTCTATTTATAATGTTAGTTTCCAACCCTAATATAATTAAAATAACATCAGTTAAAAAAATATGTAAAATTTATATTTTTAATATAAATTTAATGATTAAAATATAAAAAATTACCGTTAATTTATTTTTTTTTTATTTTATGAGAAAAACTCCAAAAAAAATAAAATTTGAATCCGATCAATTTGGCCTTTTCTGGTTACTATTTAAATATTTGTGTCGAAACTGAAGATCTGTGGCGTGCCTAAAGATAGTATATAGACATTACACAATATGGGCAGGTCAGTAAATTGAATCCACTTGGGGACATGATTAATACGAGCAGAAAGGCTTTGGTTGAACCTTTTTGCAACGAATATGAGAGAGAAAGATAGAGAAAGAGGAGAGAGAGAGAGAGGAGTCAGGAGCAAGAATCAATGAGAAAAAGGTAGAAAAGCTGATATTTTGTTGAGTTGGGCAGTTGAGGAACACAAAAAATAATGAGGAAAGGTGGAAAAGTTGATGTTTTGTTTGGTTGGGCGGTTGAGGCTTTATCAGACTTGAAAGTGAGAGAGAGAGAGAGAGAGAGAGAGAGAGAGAGAGAGAGAGAGAGAGAGAGAGGACTTTGAGTGGTTCACACAAGTTGCCCTCCGGATCTGCTTTTCCTCCTTTATGAAGTTCAGCCAGCGAAAAGTTTGTTTGTTCTTTTCTGAGTGCAAATGAGACGAGTAAAGTATGATGTAAAATCTAAAATGAACGTATTCTATTAAAATATATATAAATTATTATTTATTTTATTGATTTAAATTTAAAATTTAAGTTTTATTATAATAAAAAAATTTTAAGATCAACTACATCTAATTTTTTTATTATAATAAAAAATTATCACATAAAATCACATTTTAATTAGAATTTAAAAGTCGAATCAGTGAACTAAACGAGCCTTAAAAGTTATATATACCATTGTGAATAATGTAAATGTACGTATTCTATTAAAAAAATTATAAGCTATGTACCATTATGAATAATGTAAAATGTATGTATTCTATTAATACAAAAAGTTATTTAACCATTGTGCATGATACTAACCTTTCTTCTATGGCCTTCTTTTATTATTGGCGAGTTGATGCACGTTGTTTTCAAGAAACAAAAAAAGTTGATGCACGTTGTTAAAAAAAAAAAAAAGAATAATCACATAATCCTTGTGTTTCTTTCGCGCGTGCCACCAAATTTTATATTGCATTAGGAATAGTAATTTTACCTATGGATATGGATACCTGCTGTTAATGGGCGGGTGGTATGAAGGCTAAAATGATCCAGGGCGGCGTGGGAGTGAGAGAAGCCTCCCATCGCGATCTCAAACTCATTGACTCGATGTGTGCCTCGCCTCGCGCTCCCAGTGCAAACCCGTCCCCATTGCGACATGTTGAGCCTGTCTAGCCAATCGCCGCCACAAGAATATGCCTTCCTACGTTCAACTCTATGTCGTTGCAAGATCCCTGTTAGATAATAATCCGTAAGTGTACGGAAATTTTAATAGTATATAGTAGTGAGTAAGTATCGTATTTATAAGAATTTAATATTAAATTGTCACTTAGTACTGTGATTGTCATAACTTAATTTTATTTAGACAATCGAACTAAATAAAATTAAAATATATCTAGAACAATATAAATACGAAAATAAAATAAAATATAAAAACTTTTATGTACAAATGTATTAGGGAATTAACTTCATGTCATTCCTATGTTCATCCTATTAAGCAATTGCTTGCCAATTCCACTCAATTCATTAATTTAGAAACCTAATCTAACCTCGTTGCCTCTAGGGAATTAACTTCATGTCATTCCTATGTTCATCCTATTAAGCAATTGCTTGTCAATTCCACTCAATTCATTAATTTAGAAACCTAATCTAACCTCGTTGCCTCTCTCGAGCGTTAAACAAAGTCATATGCATGAGTATTCAAATTAATATTCTTATTTAACCCGTTTACTCATACACTCATTAAGTTTATCCCTTAAATTGGAAATTAAATGTCGATCATCTCTAGTCCTCACAACAATAGAAATCCTAATTGATATTCAAGGACTTAATCACCTCCTGGTGTCACAATATCCTAGTATCTCAACGAGATTATCTAAGTGTCGATCTCCTCTCGGACTCACAACAACCTAGACTATGTTTTCCAATTCCAGACTATGAAATCAATCTCTCCTGAGCATCAAAATCGCAATCTAAAATCATCTAACTCATTGGCCACATAAATTAGAAGCATTAAGCATAGAGAAACATAAATAAATTAAAATAAAAAATAAACTAACAATTGACGAAATATTCAAAACATAGTTCATATAAGGTTACATCAAGTCCTAGAATAATAATCTAGCTCAACATAGATGACTCCATAACCAAAATTACACAAACTAAAAACTACAATGAAAAGGGAGAAGGAAGAGAAAACGCTTTGTGGAGATACACTTCAAGTCTTTAAATCTTTAAGATTCTCTCCCAAACATTCTTCAGGAATCTCTATCTCAAAGCTCATCTTTATAGGAATTTTATGTCTCTCATTTTTTCTTAATTGGGAATTAGGGTTTCTTTTGCGTCAGTATGTTCAAACATGGAGAAAATCCCAGCCAAACTAATCCAAGTCCAAAATAGCCCTCAAATTGATCAAGGGTCAAAATTGGCCTAAACTCATCTCAGCACACGAGGGGACGTGGCCGCGCGCCTCAGTGTTGCTGCCATGTTACAGGTGGAGGGCCCATATGGCGCGGGCGCGCAACGCATAAAGTACCTGCCGTAGTGCTCAGGCTTTGATTGGGCCTTCTGCGGCTGATGGCGTGCCCACGCCCTCCGGGTTGGGTGTTGCGCCTTTAAGCTAGTTTTTGCTCCATTTTTTTATCCAAATTATCCACTAAGTCCATTTTCTTAATTTTCTACAATATTACACAAAACACATCAAATATAACAATGCTTGAGAATTTCACAAAATAAATAAGCTCAAGAGCACTTAATTTGTGAGTAAAATACCCACTCATCACTCTCACCTCTCACTTAATTTGGTATGAAGATATTTGTTGTTGTTGTTGTGTTTTTTTTTTCTTTTTTTGCGCAGAAATTTTTTGGGGGTTTCTTTATGTTTTTAATTTAATAAATATAAATCAATATAATTTCACTTGCATTTTTTTTTAATAAAAAAGAGATCAAGTGGTACACCTCATGTCTCCATCTTTTTCGGCTATTAAGACAATCTTGAGAACCATAGTGGACGTTTGGTTCATGAATTTAAAATTATGATTCATAATTATTCTCGATTTATGTGTATTTTTTATGAGAGAAAATATTATAACAAATTACGAATCATAACACGAATCTACCAACCAAACGCACACTAAAAGATGAGAAGGGACTGAATTAGTCTCTAGTCCGTCCATCTAATCTCCACTTGCATTATTCCTAATCAGTATGAGAAGTCCGCAACCAATTTTTTCTGTCATTAATATTATTCTTAATTTAGGGACTTAATTGATAAACTTTAAGGCTTGAATACCAACTTGTCACCTACCAAAAAAATCAGGTACTATTTTGTTAAAACCCTCAGAACAAATCCTAGGAAGAGACTAGAGAGAGGAGAGCTTGCAAAGGAACCTCAAACGCCCAGAAACTCCCTCGCCGGCCGTACATCCCGGCGTGACCTCCGATTCCGGTGAAGTTACCGAGCTCCGTCTTCCCAGCGCAAGACTCTCCGACGACATCCATTAGGGAGCTTGACTGGGTTGCTGAAGCTTTCTTTCCGGTTCAACGCCCTCTCCCGGTCCGGTCCGACACAACCTCGGAATCCTCGGCGGTTCAGCTAAAGAATTCCTGGAGAGAAAGTAAAAGAAACTGCGAAAAAGGTTTTTGACTCTTTGAGGAGTTGGCTCTGGTACTGAAATTTTCCTCACGATTTTTATTTTCTAATGCACTGCTAAAGACCCTTTTTATTGTCTGAATTTACTTTTTTTTTTAATTTTGATTTTCTTGTATGAAAGTATGAGTAATTGATCCATTTGATCACTTGGTTCTTTTGCGTGATTTGGATTAAGCGCAGTTGCTTTTGTTTGCTTACCACATGTTTGAGAAAATACCGCAAAGGAACAATGGAGTGAAATAAACTTCCGATTTCTTGTTTGCTCAGTGCATTGCTATAGGGTGCTAGTTTTTGCTCTGTGGAATGAAACTTTGCCAGTTTATGATTACTTTTGCAGTTGGACATTTTTATGTGTGATTTTGTTTTCATAGTTCTAGTATTGAACAGGAAAAAAACAGGGGGAGGGGGGGGAATGTTTAACTCTGTAGTAATCATATGGGAGACGCATATTTAGGTTTTTAAGTTATTTCTCAGCCGTTACTAGTTTTTGATGCTATTTTTGTCATGTAATATTAGTTTAATTTGCGAAGAATGCAAGACATACCAACTGGCAAGTGGATTGTCACATTTCGGTTGGTGAAAAATACTACACTATAAAGTATAAAGTATACAGTGATTTGTTAAATTCTAAAATTTACCAACCGAACATAGCAATTCACTTGCTACATAAAACGTAAAGAGTTCATATGTTTAACATGAATCTTAATATGTACTATAAAAGCATTTTCATGTTCTTTTTTTTTCTTTTTTTGTTTTTCTTTTCAAATAACAAAAAATTGTGTCACTTACTATACCCAAAAGCCATAGAAGTGCTTCATAAGTCAAAAGAAATGTTGCCCGTCTCTTCTGCATTCGTCTTGGGTTCACTTGTCTTTTATTCATATGTTAATTCATATGAGATCCACACACCCTTTTTGGGATTTAGATGACCTTCCTACTTTTGTAAAGACACGAGTCTTTCTACAAAGTGGTATTGTAAAATGATTTCCTGCAGGGTGAGCAAAAGAGCAAGAAATGGAAAAGGCGTCTAGCTATTTATGGAGGAAATATGCTGACTATGTGTGGACGAAGTGGGAAAGAATGCTCATCTGGAACATGGTTGAGCCATATATGAGGCCCAAATCATTCACGCCTGTGGTTACTATCTATGTTGCTGCTTTCTATACTGGGGTTGTTGGTGCTGCTATTACTGAGCAACTTTACAAGGTTTTCTTTTTCATTTGTGTTTCTTTGGTTAGTATGGTCACTTTATTGATTTCTGTTCTTCTGCTTCTGAATCTTGTTTTTCTGAATCATTACTTAGGATTTGGTTAACAAGTTTAATACGATGATTTAGACCAAAAAGTTTCATGTGTGAGTTTTAAATTTATGTTGTCTTTTGGTATTAAGCTTTGCTTCATTGGAATTGCCTTTCTGTTTTATGAGTGGTTAGGCAAGTAGTGCACACCTTTACAATTTACTTGTATTTGTAACGTCCTCTAAGCTAGTTGATCATTGATAAACTTACAAGCATCTAGATAGACTAAGAAGCGCTACTTTTTGTATGACTTGATTAAAACTAGATCAAAGTTGCAAAGAAAACTAGCAAAAGAGCACTTATTTTGTCAACTTGCTTAAAATTAGATCAAAGTTGCAAGGAAAATTAGCAAAATGTATTTAACTTAAGGTTTCCTTTTGAACTGTATGAAAAATCTATGGAGCTTTCTCATTTTTAAACCTTGCCTAAAGAATGAATACAAATTCAAATGTACTTATTATTAGTCTTACCTTGTACATGAGTATGTCCGAAACTTTCTGACAGCTTCTTATATCAGGAGGGAGGGAAAGAAAAAAAAAAGGAAAAGTCTTGGGTCACCGATGTTATGCAGTCGTGATAGCTTTTCTGATAATTCCTGTCATAGAAATCTTAGTATCGCCGGCAGTGGACATGCTAGTTCATGTCGTTTAATATGAAATTATGAAAAATCATTTAGATATGACCTTCCAACCTTATGCATGTTCTCTCTTTGATTTTGTGCAAGAATATTTATTTTTAACATTTATGGGCATAACATATGGGTATGAAAAGACTGAAAATTTTTCTCGTGTTATTTAATGCTTTTTATTTGGTATGGGCAGGAGAAATATTGGGAAGATCACCCTGGGGAGATTGTGCCTTTAATGAAGCCAACATTCTATCCCGGACCTTGGAAGGTAGCGATGGGGCAGGTTCCTGCCCATTTGAGAGAGAATAGCGGTTGAATTTTGACATAATTTTGCAGACTAAAATATGCTATTGCTTGTGAAAATATGAGAAAGAAAAGAAAGAAGCCCTCCTTGCTAATACTAGATTACTAATAATACTTGCTTTTCCTGTTTGACCATGACCATGTGGTGTGCATCTGATATTTTACAAGAGAGCCCTTTTCACAATTATTGGTTACAACAGAACACTATTCCTTTTGGTTCACAATTATTTCAGCCTATTCTCATCACATCTCTAGAGCCTTTTCATAATTACCACATCTCTTCATGAGGTACTAGTGTTCTACTTCGTGGTTTACAAGTGCATTTCGTTATGCATTTGTAGAGGCTCCAATTGCAGAAGCTTTAATTTTTTTTTAATTATCTTGAGACTAAAACTTGCTTTTCTTCTGTTTTTTTTATTTTTTATTTTTTTAATTAATTATTTATTTTTTAGCTACCAAAGTTCCCACATAAAAAAAATTATGAAATGATTGGTGGGTTTATAATCTCTTAGTCCTCAAGGAACCATTCACTTCATTCATCATAACCTCCAAAAATTACAATCCTTAGCTCATATATGTTTCTTACAAATTATTCAGAAAATAGGAAATAGAAATTAAGCAAATGGGATAACAGAATTTGGTTTGGAGCTTGGGGAATCGCACTCTGCTCAGTGACGTTCTGCCATAACGAACTCCCTCAGCCAGCGAGGCCTCATGCACTTCCTGCTTTCTGCTTTCACGCGTTGCTTTTTCTTCAATCTCCTTGCCTTTCTCTGGAGGCTCTTTGGTTAAAGCAGCGGCTGAGACTTTGTTCTTCACAACTGGACCCTCTTGTGCTTCTATCTGGACTTCCCCTTCATGGACCTTAGGACCAGCCCATCCCCTTACCTACTTTTGGACCGAGCCAATGTCCAAAATCACTTGGGCTTGGCTATCACTTCTCCCTCCCTAAAAAACGATCTTGTCCTCAAGGTTGGGCACATTGTACAGCTAACTAAAAGCTTGGAGGTCCTCCCATATTGAATCTTCTGGAGAACTATGAGACCACTGTACCAGTACCTGCTTGACTGGTGTATTCTGAGCCATGATGATTCGGCCAGCGAGAACAGCTATCGGAATAAGCAATGGTTTATTGGCGTGGTTGAGCTCCGGTAGATGGTAGTCTTAAGAGAACGAGAAACTATATGTTGGTATATTCCGGAGAAGATCTGTTTCTCACCGGATACATGGATTCTGATTTCCAATCAGATAGAGATAGTTGACGGTCGACATCTGGATCTGCGTTCACTCTTAATGGAGGAGCTGTGGTATGGAGAAGTATAAAGTAAAAGTGTGTTGTTGACTATACCATGAAAGCTGAATATGTTGCAGCTTGTGAAGTTGCAAAAGAAGCTACATAGCTCAGGAAGTTCTTAACTGATCTGAAAATTGTTCCAGATATGGATAAACTAATTAAGTTCTACTGTGACAACAGTGGAGCGGTGGCTAATTCAAAGGAACCTAGAAGCCATAAGAGTGCGAAACATATAGAAAGGAAATATCACCTGATCAGAGACATTGTGGATAGAGGCGATGTAGTGGTTCTGAAGATCGCGTCAGATAACAACCTTGCTGACCCGCTCACCAAGACATTGCCATTAAATGTATTTGATCGGCACTTAGATGGATTTGAGATTAAAGACATGACACACCTGCTTTAGGACAAGTGAGAGATTGTTGGGAATAATGTCCTAGAAACATGAGATGTAATATGATATTTATTATTTAATTAATAAAAGAGTTTATTCATCATTTTATGAGCACATATATTTATAAATATTTTATGAATATTAAATAAAAATTTCGTGATTATTTATGTAACCTTAAACATTGTATATAAGTGTTACATACGAGAGGATAATGTTTAAGGATAATAATAAAAAACGTTGTTCATAATGAATTTAATTAAAGTTCAGAATCTTTAATTAAAACATTATTAATACATGTCATTCCCATTTAGAATGGAACGGTGCTATCCGCACTGTTAATATGGTGAGATATTGAATGAATGTATTTCGCATAATGAGATTGTGTGGAACATGGACACAGACACAATATGAATTTCTAATAATTTTCGTTAAGCATTTAAATTCTAATTGAGTCTACCGATGGTCATATATAGAATGATCTTAATCCTGAGTTCTTAATAAACTCCTATTTATGGATTTGTGTCTTTTAATTTACTTGGTACGGATTTCGAGACCCTGAATCCTATTTCTTGTATTTTAGAGACATGATAAAATAGGTAGCCGGGAATGTTATTGTACGAGATAGAATCCATTCCTTATTGAGAAAGAAGTAGATAAATAATTCTCTTGAGTGTTGATTCGGTACTTTGATTAGTTAGAGCGCTTTGGTTCATGAATGTGTTTTATGAATCACTATCCATTAGAGAATCAATGGTACTCAAGAATGAAGATATAATTAGAGAGGTTAACGGATTCCACCTGACACTAATTATGAATTATTTATGGAGGATTGATCTATATGTAATGACTATATCAAATGGACACTTCACAGTTTAGAAGTAATTAATGTCTATAATTTTGAGAGTGTAATTCTAAGTTTATAGTGGAGTAACCATTGGAATTAATAGAATTAATTAATTAATTAAAGTGTTTAATTAATTATTAATTTTATTGGAGCTCGGGATTATAGGTCCATAAGTCCCCGTGTCGTCCTTGTAATTCTACTAGACACAAAGGACAAAATGAGAATTTTAGAATTATGGAATTCTAAAATTAAATACTCGAAAAATAATTAATTGAGAATTAATTATTATTGAAATAAGGTGATTATTTAAATTTGAATTTGAATAATAAATATAATTTAAATTTATCATTTTAAACTTATTTGATAAGTTATTCAATTTAAAATTTAAATTAATTTAAGTTTGACTTAAATTCGAATTTGAATTTGAATTGAAATTGGACTATATGATAAATGATGATTTTCTCTTCCTTCCCTATCTGCAATTGGCGCCACACACAGGGATAAAAACCCTAGGGTTGGCCGGCCACTTAAGGATTAGGTAGAGGAGAATTTTTGTTCAAAATTCAAACAGGAGAGAGATATTTGTTTCCTTCTAGAAGTTGGACTTCTACTCTATAAATAAGGGATGATGAAAAATTGCGCGTGACGAATTTTTAACCTAATTAATTAGGGCTGGCCGAATTCCCTGAAATAGAAAGAGAAGAAAAAAAATTTCTCCCAAAAATTCCACATCGTGCATGCGTTGGTGTTTGTGAAAAATTCGAGTCTTTAACTAAACCAGTTCAGTCTCGAGTGTGCCCACACACACGTCTACGTGGAATCAAGGAATTGACGTGGAAGACTTTGGTTTTCTAAACACAAAGCTTGGAGCAAGGATTGTTCGAGGTCAAAAAATTCAAGTTATCATCCGAGTCGGCTCTAGGTATTTTTCCTAATTGAGTTCTTGACATATAAATTAATGTGATTAATTTATTCGTGCATAAATTAATATAATCTATAGAGTATCTCAAAAGTTTTATGAAAATTTTTGTTATACACGATCCGCCTTCCCGCCACACTTCTGCATCCGAATTTGATTCGGTTACCAACAGGTAGCTCGTGACTGGTGTGTCTCCGTGGAAAGCTTTCAACAAGGACACATGGAAGGTTGGGTGAATTTGACTTCCGGAAGGCAGCTCCAGTGTATAAGCGACTGGTCCGTCGTGAGCGGCAATTGGGAAAGGTCTGAAATAATGACAGCATAGTTTGGAGTTGAGCCGTGTGGCGATGGTGGTTTGACGGTAAGGCTATAGCTTGACCAACACCAAGTCTCCGATCTTGAACTGAATGTCCCGACGTTTCTTGTTGGCTTGTTGTCTCATCCGGTTTTGTGCTTAAGCTAGGTTCTCCTTCAATTGTTGTAAGATGAAATCATGAGTCAATAAGTCCTTCTCAACTGCCTGAATGGGTGTGGTCCCTCGTGTGTAGGCTGGAATCGAAGGTGGAAGCCGATCGTAAACTGCTTGAAATGGTGTCATACCGATTGCTAAATGGTGGATGGTATTGTAGTGGTATTCGGCCTATGAGAGAAATCGACTCCAATGTTTTGGAGTCTCGGCAATGAACGCCCGCAAGTATTGCTCCAGATATCTGTTGGTGACTTCGGTCTGCCCGTCCGTCTGAGGGTGGTATGAAGAGCTCATTTTCAACTTAGTGCCCATCAAGTCGAAGAGTTTCTTCCAGAAGGTACTAGTGAAAATTGGATCTCGATCGGACACAATGGTGCGAGGCATTCCATGTAATCGGATGACCATGTGAGAGAACAACTCCGCAACCTTCGTGGCCGTGTAGTGAGGAGGAAGTGCCCCGAAATGAGCATATTTGGTGAGTCGGTCAATCACCACTAAGATGTTGGTGTTTCCCTGAGAGTTTGGCAGACCGACTATGAAATCCATAGCCAAATCTTCCCATACACACTTTGGAATCTCTAGTGGCTGAAGAAGCCCATAGGGAGCCGTGGGAGAATATTTCACCGTTTGACAAATGACATGCTGCCACATATGCTTTCACCTCACTTCGCATGCCTTCCCAAAAAAAATTCGCATTGAGCCTCAAATATGTCCATTCCACTCCTGCATGGCCGCCCATGGAGGTATTATGAAACTCCTGGAGTAGCAATTTTTTCAATTGTGAACTCTTGCTAATCATGAACCTGTTCTTATAGAGTAAGAGACCGTCCCGAACACTATAGTGATTATCTGTCAATGTTCCGTCAAGCACTTGTTTTTGGAGGTCTAGTAAATCCGAACATGCCCTGTTTTCATGACGTAAATCGGACAAGAAATCATACCGGCCGGCTGAAATGGCTGCCCTGAGCTGAATGTTCTGCTCGTCGTGGCACCGCGATAAGGCATCCGCGGCTGCGTTTTCCTTGCCAACCTTATACTCAATAGTGAGTTGGTATCCCATCAACTTCTGTAAGTAATGTTGCTGTTCTGGAGTCTGTATCACCTGGGTAAGAAATTCCTTCAAACTCCTGTGATCAGTCCGAATGACAAAATACCGCCCAAGTAAGTATTGTCGCCATTTGGCTACGATTTCGACAATTGCCCGTAACTCCCGGATATAGGCTGATGCTCCCAGCATTCGCGATCCCAATTTCTTGCTGAAATAAGCCAGCGGATGCCTATCTTGCATCAGTTCCCCACCTATGCCAATGTTTGATGCGTCAGTCTCGATTACA